GCAGCACATGTCGAGCAAACTCTGCATCATGCAGTAAAAATTTAACAAAGTAAGTTGTCGTCATAAATAAGTCAGAATTCAAGCATTTTGTGTTGCCATAATATTCAATAGAAAATACTCCAAAATTTAGCATGATATACCGTCAAAACATATTGCAAAAGTGTAGTAAAAAATCTGGCATATCTATTTTTTCACACTGTGACATCAGAAATGCGACAAGAATGCAACACGATCTGTGACGTCAGATACTAGCAGTAGAAACGGAGTACAGTGTGCTATCACACCGTGACGGCAAAATTTCGACAGGTATAAAGCACGATCTGCCTTATCAGTGTGTCGGTAGAAACGCAGCAGAAATCGAACACAGTATGCTGTCACGACGTGACGGCAAAATTGCGGCACGTATACAGCATGAGCTGCTTTATTAGCTGTTGTAGACAAAAAGGTTGTAGACAAAAAGGTAGCAAAAATCAAATGTTACGTCCAAACTCCGGAAGGAAAAATCTGAACTAATTAATGGAACTAGGAAGGACGCTCAGAGTTGTTTGTTCTCTCCTTGTCTCTGTTTTTCGCAGACCGATGTTCGGAGTGTCGATTTGCGAGTCGAACGCACCTTTTGTGCACAGGCTAACTGGTCAACGTCAGTGACGCTATAACGCTAGCGCGATCGGTAGTCCGTTTTTTGGTCAAAGAGGTAAATTTCTTTAATTAGGGATAGGATCTCGTGCGATTCTTCGGGTAGCGAGGAATGAAGGAAAAAAAAGGATTAATTCAATTTAATTTTAATACAAAATATTAATTATGAGAGATGGTTAATGAGTTACAAGAGGATTACACATACAAAGAGGATTCGTTATAATCGAAGGCATGGCACAAATTTACAGATTACTAATTCAATTAATATGAAAAAAAGGAAATTTTAATCATTATGATGAATTTTTTTGACGAGAAAAATTACAATTCCGATTAACATTTGAAGAATGAATTCGAGATTGAGTTCGCAAAGAAAGTACAATTTCGACTTAAGTATGAAAATTACAGGATATATATGCATGAATGTAAGCGCGCGCACGCGCGCGCGTGTGTGTGTGTGTGTGTGTGTGTGTGTGTGTGTCGCGACTTACATTAGTACGAAGGTCATCGGGCAGGAATTCACGGGGAGATTGATCTTAATACTACTTTTGTGTAATGAGGCGGTGTATAGGATCCTACTCAGTATTATACATGTGTTTCGTGTTTTAATGATTACTGATTTCTAGCGTAGTGTTGTTTGATAAATCTACTATGTGTGGAGGGGGATGGCTTCGTAGAAAGCGTGAACGGAGGTACGGGAGTCGGAAGGGAGGAGCAAAGAAATGATATCTCATGAATGGATCTCTTCTTAAAATTTCCGCGTAGGTAGCGAGTTTGATATCTTTATTAGCAATGATCCCTAGGCAAAATGTTTCCGGGAAAGTGATTGCGGGAATTGTCGTACAAGGCGGGAAAATATATATATATTCGAGTTCGAACTCCTCGAGAGAAGACTGCTGTTCTGCCGAGGAAAACAAATCGAATGGAAGGATCTGTTCTTGCGCGGAGAAAGTAATTTGGTTTTGAGTACGGGTCGTCCGATAAGGCTTGCTCACTTTTCGCAGGAAATGTGGAGCAAATTGGTTCCGCAAACTGGTTAATCGGTTCCAAATTTTCGACCTCGAGAATGTCGTGAGAAAATTGTTGTTCGATGAAAGGAAAAGGATTGATCAAGGAGACTTCCGCGGATATAACTTTTAATTCTGAGGCGAACGGTCACATATGCAGGGCTACGTGGTGCTGGGCGGTAATGTCCGCTTCCGCGAATGATCCTGCCGCGAGTGCGTCGAAGCCGTTTGTTTAATTTATAGCGGAAGTGCTTCAGGACTCTTTTGATCCACTTCTGTCCGAGGGGAGATGGAATTTTACTAAATGGGAGAAAAAGGGTGAAATCCACCGACTTTTTCGGCGTCCGCGTATCTAAAGGGCAAGTTTATGGTCACGCGGCAATAAAGTGGAAGAGAGAGAAAGAGAGGGAGGGAG